AGGAAGGAAGGAAGGAAGGAAGGAAGGAAGGAAGGAAGGAAGGAAGGAAGGAAGAGGGAGGGAGGAAGGAGGGAGGGAGGGAAGAAGGAGGAAAGGAGGGAGGAGGGAGGGAGGAGGGAGAGAGGGATGGAGGGAAGGAAGGAGGGAGGGAAGAAAGGAAGGAGACTGTTCTTTAAATGTTGGTCATATCTGTCAATATAAAAATTCTATGTAGGGCAGAGCCTTACACGCTCAGCCAGGAGTACCTGCGGCAAAGGCGGGAGCTGGGACTGCTGGGGGCAGCCTGGGACTCTGGGCGAGGGAGGGAAGCTCCCTCCACTGGGGTTGTTACAAGATAACAGGGGACGGCGGGGTGCTCAGTGAGCCCCAGAAGGGCTCCATAGGTGCTGCACGGGTGATGGGCCATATGCCTTCTGGGTCACTGTGGGCCAGGAGACCCCCCCCTACCTCGCACAGCCACCGCTAGGTTGGGGGAGGCTCTGACACCTGACTCCCACCTCAGGGCTGGGAATGGGGGTGCTGTAGCACAGAAGGGTGGTGGGTGAGCCTGGGAGGGCCGGCGCCACCCCTCTTACTCAGCCCCCTGGACAGGGCCAGGCCCCTGCTCATGGAGGCGCACTCTGCCTGCTGCCTGGTCAGCATCCGTTTCCTGGCCAGAGCAAGAGAGCACGCTCTGGCGGCCCTGGGGCTGCGTCTGTGGGAGGTGCGCTCCCAGCCCCAGGCCACCTGCATGCTCCTGCCCCTGCCTCCCCCGAGCTCAGCCCCGTCAGTACCCGTGGCCGTGGCCGTGACTGAGCCCATCCCCTTTTGTGAGAGCCTCCTTCCCATCTCACCCTGGATCAACGCCTGAATGTGCGTGCTCAGTGTTTGCACATGGCCAGCAAACAGGGGTGATGACTGTTTGACCCAGGAGAAGCTGGACCCCCACTCCCTGCCCCCAGAGCCACAGCAGACCACCTCCCCCTGAAACACCCTGGGGGCTTCCTGGGGCTCACGTCCAGGTGACCAGCTCGTCCAGTGTGCGAGGTGTAATGTGGCGATGCGGCCAGGAGCTGGCCCTCCCCAGCATCCGAGCAGCTCTCTGGGGCTCCCATGGCTTGGAGGGGGCAGCCCCCCCCCGGGGGGCAGGCTCTGTGGAGCAGAGACTCATCCTGGGGGAAGGTGGTCACTGAGAGGAATGCAGGCGAATTACAAATCCAAACAGGGAAGGGTCTGCAAGGGCCCCGAAGCCTCTACTCCACCAGCCTAGCAGGGAATGGGTCTGCCCCACCCCACCACGCGCCCCTCCCTGTATACCCACGCGGCTCCTCTCCTGGGAAACCACACTTCGAGCCTCTGGCCCCTTCGGCTGCAGGAAGGCCCTCTCAGGTCATGGGAGGGTCCTGCTTGTGCTGACCGTGCTTGGTCAAGTGCTCAGAACACTGGGCACGGATTCCTCCTGGACACTCCCAGGCCCTCGGAGCCATAGTGACCCAGCTGCTAGGACTCAGCACACCCCACCTGGTGCCCAAGGCAGGCAGGGAGGGACCTCCTCAGTCCTCGGGCCTCCATGCTCAGCACCCAGGCCTCCTGTCGGCCCAAGCAAAGCCCAGAGAGTGAATGGGGTGGGGGGGTCCTGAGCGCAGTGGGTTGTGCTGCAAAGCTCCTCCCCCGCCCCCGCCCCCGCAGTGGCATCCTGCAGAAATAAGGTTCTGTGCACTCTCCTTGAGGTCAGAGCGGGGACATTTTCCAGCAGGAACACGTGCTGGGCAGTGGGAGCATGGCTTGTCAGGAATGCCTGGCCCATCCCCAGATGACCGTCCCCAGAGGGAGAGAGGCTCCTCTTCGCCTGTCCCCGGACAGTGGGCTCTGCAGGGAGCACCCCACCCATGGCCGTGTCTCTGCCAGGGCCCTCCTCCATCCCGTCACCCCCAAGTCCCCAGAGCACCTCTCTTCACTCATCGGTCCCCTCCAAGCAGCCTATGGCCCTTGTGCACACACACTCCAGGCCAGGGGTCCGGCAGCAAGAGCCACTTTTTTTTAAGATTTTGTTTATTTGACAGAGAGAGAGGGATCACAAGCAGGCGGAGAACCAGGCAGAGAGGGAGAGGGAGAAGCAGGCTCCCCGCCGAGCAGAGAGCTTGATACGGGGCTCGATCCCAGGACCCTGGGATGATGACCTGAGCCGAAGGCAGAGGCTTAACCCACCAAGCCACACAGGTGCCCCCCCTTTTTTTAAGATTTATTTGTTTGACAGAGAGAGCAAGCACGGGTAGGCAGAGCAGCAGACAGAGGCAGAGGGAGAAGCAGGCTCTCTGTGAGCAGGGGGCCCAACACGGGGCTCGATCCCAGGACCTTGGAATCATGACCCGAGCCACAGGCAGACGCTTAACCGACAGAGCCCCCCAGGCGCCCTCCAAGCTCCAGCATCCCTGCCTCACCTTACACACCTGGCTCCGCAGCGCCCAGGCCCCAAGGACGACCCTGCCCTGACCCAGCCACTCTCAAATCCCGCTGTCAGTCTCACTAGCCGTATGACCTCAGGGAAGGTGCTAGACCTCACTGCCTCCATGTCCCCATCTCTAAGAGCACTGAGCCTGCAGGGGCCGGGTGAAGGTTCCGACCAGTTCTGCTGGGACAAGGAGGGGGGCTTCCTGGGCACTCCGCCAAGGCTGGCAGCCCAGAGCAGCCCACCATGGAGGACACACTCTGGGGTCTGTGGGGGATAGACCCCAGAGCGTAAGACACACACACACACACACACACACACACACACACACACACACACGGTGATCTCACCACCACCAGGCTCCCACCCTCATGGCTCCTAAGGCTCAGGGCAGCACAGCTTGGTACCGTGCATCATAGCAGGGACCGCCGCTTGGAGGTGGGAGGAAATATGCCCAGCGGAGGGTCCCGAAGGCCGCGTGCCGGCCGCTCCTTCACACGGTGGCTTCAGAAGCCGAGAGGCCAGTAGTGCTGCTGGCGGAGAGGAGTGTTTGGGGGGCTGCTCGAGGCAATGTGGAGGTCCCTGGGGGACAGACCAGTCCTGTATCTCACTGTGTCACTCTCAGTATCCTGGGTGACCTTCCATGACCAGATGTTCTGACAGATGTTTCCACTGGGGAAATAGAACAAGAATCATGGGATCTTCATGTTGTTTCTTACAACTGCGTGTGAGTCTATAATTCTCCTAAAATTAAGAATTTAATTTTTTAAGTTAAATAGAAAAAAGGGGTGGGGCCAAGGAGGTGGCAGAGGTCCAAGAGGTGCTTGGCCCAGAAGAGCAGGGGAGAGGGGAGTCTCTCTGTCCCTCCTTATGGGTGGGCTGCAGGGTGGGGGGTGTCTTCCTCTTTTCCCCACCTTCTAGTGCCAGCCTCCCCCTCAGCCCTCAGACAGCACGCCCTCTTTCCGCATAACAGCTGGCATTTCCTGGGAGCCCAAAACGGGGAGAGGAGGGCAGAAATGGCCAACCCCCACCCCAGATCGGACCTCCCGGGGCCTCCACGCCCACCCAGTTCTGGATGAATTGATGCACCGGTTGCTAGGGAAGTCTCCTCCCAAGAATGGGGAGGTACACCACCAGGGGGGTACAATTGTGGGACAGGGCAGGCTCTGGACATAAGGACAGACTGGCAGAGGAGCTGAGGGACTGATGCCCTATCCCGGAAGGGGCCCACCACTGTCCTCCCCGCCCGCCCCCAGGGCAGAGACACCCATAGGCAGGACTTCCCTCCCTCCCTCCCCCATCCTCCCCAGGGTGGTCCACCTAGTGCCAGTCCACTGCCCCGGGGAGCCCCAACTTGCTGAGAGATCCCAGAGGTCCTGGGGCCACCTGGGGTCTAGAGATGGGGTTCAAGGAGGGAGCTGAGAACTCGTCTGATGGGCTCCCTGGAGCTGTGGAGACCCCTCTGTCCAGACCCAGGTGAGTAGTGTCAGCCCAGGCCAGGTACTGCGGGCAGAAGTGGCTGCTCCCATCCCAGCTCTGCTGGGCTGCTCCCATTCCCTGGGTGGCAAGGGTCACCCACCTGCCAGTTCATTCGTGAGGTCACTGCTGCTCCCCCCAGTTCTTCCCAGGGATTCCTGGAGCGGTGCACAGGCTGGGACGGGGAACAGGAGCCCTCTTCCCTGAGTTCACCCCTCAAGCCTGGACTAAGCCCCTTGCCCACAGGACTGCGGGACAAGGGTCCCCGCTAAGCCGCCAGCCTCAGTTTACTCGGCTCTGCTGAACCCTACTTTGGGCTTGGCTTTCGGAATAGCCACTTGCGGTGGTTCCCAAGTGGGGCGCGGTTCCCCCAGGAGGAACCAGGTTCCCCAGGGAGGGAGCGAAGCCTAGGGACAGTTCTGTCCACCTGAGACCTGGGTGGAGGGTGGGGTCGGGGGCCGGAGGAGGGGCTCCTAGAGTCTGAGTCCCAGTCCGGGTCTTGGGATCAGACAGCGCCCCCCCCCCCCGCCCCCGCCCCGCGCCCCCGCCCCGTGCGGTCTTCTCCAAGCTCTTCAAGTGGACGCCCCACCCGGCGGGGTCTCCTCGCACCCCCGGGTCCTGGGCTACCGCCCCACCCTGCCCCCACCCCCGGGCCGGGCGGGGCGTCACAGAGGCCGGCGGTCCCCATGGCAACCCGCGGGACGCGGCAGCGCGCGCTGGGCGCACAGTCAGCCGGTTGGCTCTCTCCGCTCCGGGAGGCAGGGCAAGTGGGCGCGCCTGGAGGCTGGAGGCTGGGCGCGGGCCGGGGAGGCGGGCTGGGGGCTGTTGGCTGGGAAGGGGAGAGGGAGGTCTGGGGGCTTCTGGAAGGCCCAGGAGGCTGTAAGTCTGGGAGCCGGGCCAGAGCACAGAGCGGCCCCCTCCCGAATGCACGACCAGCCCCTCTGGGATTTTCCAACCGAGAGACTGTTGGCGACTGGGAAACCTCCCTGAACCCACAGTCAGACCCGGGGCCAAAGCGGAACTTAGGCTAGGATTCCTGGGGTCATGCTTCGCCTCATCCCAGATACCCTCTCCGTTGTACCCAGGGCCTGGTCTCTTTTCTCTGCCCCAGGAAGGTATAGAGCTGGCCTCTGGGGAGGCAGGCAGACTTGGGTCCCAACCTTATTGCCACTTAGCAGTGTGGCCTTGGGCAGTCACCTGGCCTGTCAGCTTTCTTGGTAGCTCATCCAGCCCTTGGGTTGCCGGGACCACACGAGCTCTCAAGTGAAGCCGCTGGCCCAGCTGTGTGAAGGGGCTGCCTCACCGTCCTGGGGGCGGCTGGGACCAATCCAGCCAGATTGCTGGCCCCTTCTCCAAGGAGCCCCAGCTTACAGAGCCAGTCCCCACAGCCCCCCAGAGGTGGGAGCCCAGGCAGGGGTAGCACAGAAGGCGAGTCCGGCCCTAGAGCTGATGGGGGGCCTCAAACCCTGAGCTGAGAGCAAGCTGCAAGGCATTTTCACCTCAGGCCCCCCGTCTGTGAGGTGGAGTGATAGGACCTCACCACTGAGGGGCTTCAAGGCACAGAGTGGGGCTCAATCACTAGAAGTTGGGGCCTGGGGCCGCCCTGCCTCCTTCACCAGCTCCAGCCACCGCCTGGCCTTGTCTTTGGGTGAGCCCGGGCCCTTTGCTCTGACCCGCAGTGAAAGGGAGGCACGGAAGGTCCACAGGGACATGGTGTCCCCCAGGGGGAGTCCGGTGCCCCACAGACAGGATCACACTGACCCCTGTCAGCAACGAGGGAGCACCTTCACCCCATTCACACGACAACCTGAGGCTGTGGCCAGGCCACACAGCTGGTCAGTGGCTGTCCAGAGCCCATTGTGTCAGCCCGTCCCCATGTCCCTGTGTCATCACAATGGACAATCAGTAGAGGGGCCGCCCCTCAGCGTCCACTTCTATCTGGGTCGGCCACCGGCCTGCCTGGCCCCCCGGCAGCCTCTTCCCAGAGAGACGTGCTCTCCCCATGAGCTCTTCCCCCGCGGAGGGACAGAGGGCCCAGTATGGACGGCAGTGGGCCTGAATCCACACCTGCCTGCGCACACGCGCGCTGTGACTGAGCCGGGGAGGGGGGTCGGCAGAGCCCCGTGGGCCGCGTCCGCTCACACCACCCCCTCCACCCCCTGCTCCCAGACATGAGCTTCCGGGTGCCGGGCCCGGGCCTGGACAAGATGAAGCCAGACAGTGCACAGTCCTCCCTGGACCAGGAGGAGGCTGAGGAGGCGGAGGACCGGCAGCTGCTGGAGCCGGAGGCGTGGCGGGCCTACATGGAGCGCCGCACTGCGCTGCGCGAGTTCCTGACCGCGGACCTGAGCCCGCACCTGCTCAGGCGCCACCACGGGCGCATGGAGCTGCTCCAGAAGTGCTCCTTCCACATCGAGATCCTCCCCAAGCACCTGGCCCTGGGCGACCAGAACCCCCTGGTGCTACCCAGCACCATGCTCCAGCTCATCGACCCCTGGAAGTTCCAGCGCATGAAGAAGGTGGGCACCGCCCAGACCAAGATCCAGCTCCTGCTGCTCGGGGACCTGCTGGAGCAGCTGGACCGGGGCCGTGCCGAGCTGGGCGCCCTTCTGGAGTCGCCCGACCCGCGACCCTTCCTGGCGGGCTGGGGCCTGGTGGCGCAGAGGCTGGCGGAGCTGTCGGCCGTCATGGACAGCTTCCTGGCCATGATGGTGCCTGGGCGCCTGCACATGAAGCACCGCCTGGTGTCCGACATCGGCGCCACCAAGATCCCACACATCCGGCTGATGCTGAGCACCAAGATGCCCGTCATGTTCGACCGCAAGGGGTCGGTGGCCCACCGGGACTGGGCCAGCCTGCGCTGGTTTGTCACCATCCAGCCGGCGGCCCCCGAGCAGTTTGAGCTGCGCTTCAAGCTGCTGGACCCACGGACGCAGCAGGAGTCCACGCAGTGCGGCACCATCCCCGTGGCGGCCTGTGCCTTCGACATCCACAACCTGCTGCCCAACCGCTCCTACAGGTTCACGGTCAAGAGAGCAGAGAGCTACACACTGGTGTACGAGCCGTGGAGGGACAGCCTCACCCTGCAGACCAGGCCGGGGCCCCCAGAAGGGCCCAGCCCTAGTCGGCTAGGCAAGCCAGGCTTGCCCCTGACCGCACTTTCTGAGAGATGATTTTCTAATATTTATCCACTAATAAAGACTATAAACACACACACACAACTAAAGAAACAAACCTTACGTTTGACAGGCAGCAGCCGCCATGGGAGTGTTTGCTCAGATGCTGTCCAGCCCAACCCCCAGCCTCAGGCCCCCCAGGCTCCTGCCCCCTTTGCCAGGGGGCACCCCAGGCTGCACCTTCCGGGATAGCTGCCCCTGGAACGAGATGAGCGGCCCGAGAGCTTCTCCAAGGGGCCCTGCTGTGTCTGCCCCTCCCGCATCTCCCTGCTCCCTCTCTGGCACAGTAAGCAGCCCTGCGACCTTGGCACTGGCCCTGGCTACCTTGCCCTGTGTCCCAGGCCAGGGTTCCCCAAGGGGAACAATAACCTCATTGGGGGCAGTCGTGCCCCATCCTGTGGCTCCCAGCATCACTGGAGTCAAGGTCATGGGTGCCCAGACCAAGAGGACGTTTTGTCTTTTAAATGACAAAGTCTTCTCCCAAAAAGGAGCTGAACCACATCTGTGCTCCTGTCCCAAGGCGGATGAGGGCCCGAGGCAAAGGAGTCCGGCAGAGGGCCTCCCCGGGACGCAGGCTGGTGCCCAGCTGTTGTAGGGTGGCCCTCCCCACCAGCCGCCACGCCCAGCCCCCAGAAGGGGACCAGCCCCTCACTGCTGCCTCCAGAGGCTGTCCTTGCCAGGGGCAAGGCCATGCCACCACCAGTGTGCCAGCAGTTCCCTCGTTCCCCACGCTCACGTCCGGTCCCGACACAGGTGAGGCGAAGATCGGCATCCGTCTGCTGCTGCATCTGGGCTGTGTCCAGGTCCAGGAGGGACAGCACTGTGTGCCGTGGCCCAGGGGAGCTGCCAGTACGCTGACCCCTCCTCCACACCCTTGTCCACCATGGGGGTCACTAGGCCGCCTGAGAGCCAAAGGCCTGGGCAGGCAAGATGACCAGGAACAGGGACCGCCTCCCCCACCGGCAGAGGGGTGGTTTGGAGAGAGAGCAGGTGCCCAGCAGTCCCCAGGACTCGTCCCCGCCCCCAGCTCTTGACAGGTGGGTGGGGTCCTCCCAGGCCTCTCCAGTTCCTGACCCACTCTGTGTTACTGCACACCACTCCGGGTCAAGCCAGCCTGTCTCACACTGTGGCATCGTGTCGCTATGGTGCAGGCACTCCTGGGTGTTCCTCAGGGTCCAGTCACCCCAAGGCATCCTGGGGAGGGGGGATGGCAGGGGAGGAGTCGAGAGCAGAGCCTGGTGCTCCTCCTGAGCCGCCCCCCTCCCACCCCAGCGCAGTAGAGAGGGCTGGCGCAGGGGGTGGGCGGGCAGGGAGAGAAGCAAAGCTGGGCAGGGACCAGGGATGGGGCTTTGTGCCAGGTCCTACCAATCCCAGCAAGAAGGGGGCAGGTTGGAGTCAGGGTTGGTGGAGGGAGGCGTTTGTGGGTAAGGCGACTGAGGGTCCTCCCGGGTCCCCGCGCCTCCAGCCGTCACCAGGGACGGCAGCTGCCCAGAGGCCAGCCCCGCGGGAGGCCCCGCTGTGAGGGCCCCCGCAGCAGCAGGCCTGGCGCGCTCGCGTCTTTGAACCTCGCCGCACACAAAGCCAAGCGCTTTTCCTCTGTGCCGAGCTCCGTCTCGTTCGCTGCCTTGCAGAAGAACGTGCCTGACTTGAAACCTTGAGCCCCTCTGCGACGAGGCCCGCCCTCTGCCTTCGGCCCCGCCTCGCGCCGCCGCTGCGCGCCTGGGCTTCACCGCCCAGCTTCCCCGGCAGTCCGCGCGCACGCGCGTGCTCGGGGCTTCAACGCCCGCTCCTCCAAGAAGCCCTCCCTGATTCCAGGCGGAAAAGGTCCTGACTTCCTGCCTCAGGACGCCTGTTGGTCCTCCTTTCCAATGTTTTTGACCAGATGGTAAAACTCCATGCCTGTGTGGTTGGCCTAGAAGGCGGGGCCTGTCTGGCTCCCTCAGCAGCCTCACAGGGAACACAGTGGCCTTGGAGAAGGCTTTTGACTCTTTGACTGTGTGACCTCCACACCGGTCTGATACCCGTGCAGGCCCCCAGGGAAGCCAGGTCCAGACACGCCTTCCTCTGCACAGCCGGTGCTGTTGGAGGCCTTGGGCACTGAGCAACAGACCAGACAAGGAACGGCTGGAGTCGGCTTAGAGGAGGCATGCAGCGTGCAAGTGTCCTCGGGGAGCACTCAGACCCTGGGCCGCGCTGGACGCTGGCAGGGCTGGCCGCCTCAGGGACTTTGGACTTGGCCTGGGGTCAGCGTTCAGGAGGGTGGGCATGCCTGCATCTCCAGGGCCCAGCCCGTCCCTGTCGCCCATCTTTGCCCAGTCAGCCCCCAGCCAGCTTCCGCTGTCCAGCCACAGACCCTGCTCAACCCGCTGGCCGTGCTGTCAGCTGCGACACAGGGACAACAGCCTCTCCCAGAGCGCTTGCTTGTCCAGCACCTGGCTAGAATGGGCTCTGGATTCCTGGCAGACTCAGGAGCTACCCTACAACCCAAAACAAGAGGAGGTGTCCCCAATAAAACCTCAAACACCCAGATGTGAGAAACACATCCACAGTAGTCTTTATAATAAAATTAGTATTGAATCGTATAACACAGAGTCCAAGAAAAGATATAAAAATTGGAATGTAGAAATTGATTTGTAGAAAACATCAGAACATCCCTCCCCACCCCACCCCTGCCCCCCACCCTGCCCCACTGCTGGCAGAAATTTCTGCAGCAAGGCCACGGAAGGGGGGGTGCGGGGGCAAGCCCCTCCTAGTGTAAGCAGCTTGTCTGCCACATCCCCCAGGCCACAGGACGAGGATGTGCAGAGACTCTGGGTCAGAGCTGCCTTGCAGTGGGGGGTGAGGGTTTGCTGAGGTGAGGGCAGATACCAAGGCAAGAGTTTCCAGACCAGGCGGAACAGAAATGTACCCAGAGGGACAGGGGGAGTTCCTCAGCCTTGCAAAGACAGACACAGAGGACAGGCTGTCCCAGAAGCCCTGACCTGGGAGCAGGCTTGAGTTTGCAAAGGGGAGGCAGAGCTCAGGCTGAAGGCACAAGGCTGCCCATCCAGGGGCACCTCAGTCTCGGTCCCCACCCACATACCCATGGTCCGGGCAAGGTTGTGTGTGCATCTGGTTCTGGTCTGCCCTTCCGCCTGCAAGGGCACGTGGCCCCTGAAGGACACAGGGCTGTGGGCCCCAGTAAAACAGGGTAGTGGGGACAGAAAAAAGGCCCTCTGTTCCAGGGAGGCCTCTTTGTCTAAGTTTGGGATAAGGAACCTGTTCCAGTAAAAAAAAGACACTGGCGTCTGGTTTATTTTAGAAAAAAGAAAACCAGGAGGCCTGGCTGGCTTAGTTGGTAGAACATGAAGCTCTTAATCTCAGGGCCATGAGTTCAAGCACACACTGGGCAGGGAGCCTACTTGTAAAAAAAGAAAAAAGGAAAGAAAGAAAGAAGGCTGAGCCCCACAGCCAGCACCCAGCGTGGTCAGGGATGGCATCCAAAGACCAAAGAGTAAACCCGCGAGGATTTCCTTCCCCGCCCCAAACCTTCCCAGCAACACCAGAAGGTCCAGAGGACCTCCCCCCATCCCACACCCCTGAGGTGTTCCCTGCAAAATGTCCCAACAAAGGCAGCACAGCAGGGAGACTGGGGAGTCCCTCTCTCCTAAGCGTAGGCACTTGCTGGCAGGGCAGGGCCTGGCCTGCCCCCCTGTCCCGGGAGAGGCCGAGGCTCCAGAAGAGGATTATTGCTCAGAACCCCAGCGCAGACCCAACTGGGGGGCGGGGCGGCCGGCAGTACCTAACCCTAACCGAAGGCACTGTGGGATTCTGCCGAGTGCGGCCTGACAAGGCACGCTGCAGAAGCGGGCTGGGGCTTTGCCTCGAAGTCCTGGCAGCCCGAGGGCAGTGGGCAGGCAGAGTGGGCTCTTCAGGGAGACAGGGCAGGCCTCCTCCGAACGCGCACCTGGCTGGCGGGCACGAGGCTCTGCTGGTCCTCACAGAAGTCCAGGAATCTCCGCCAGAGAGGGCAACAACGCAGGAGGCGGTGGTCCCCTGTACAGGTTGAGGGGCCGGGGTCCGTGGTGGACCCCAGCCCCGCCCAGGCCCTCCCTGCCCCGCCCTGGCCCTCCTGCCCCAAGCCGTTCTGCCACACCCCCAGGGAGAAGCCCCGCCCCATCCTGCCCCGCCCCCAGCCATGCAGCCACACCCCCAGGAGAAGCCCCGCCCCGGCCCGCCCCGCCCCCAGCCGAGCCGCCAAGCGGTCCTACCAATGAAGCAGAGACCCTCTTTGGCCCGGGTGATGGCCACGTTCACTTGATTGGGGTCCACCACAAAGCCCAGGAACCTCTTCAGCCAGCTCTTCGTTGGCCGCTGGTCCAGGTCACTCTCGGGGCACGTGCGCACGGTGCTCACCAGCACGTAGCGCCACTCGCTTCCTGCGCAGTTGGGTGCACGTGATGAGGCCCCTCCCAGGTCCCGCACCCACCGGCTGGCCCGCGAGGCCCCTGCCCCAGAGCCGCGCTCACCCTGGCTCTTGGTGATGGAGCACACGCTCACTCCAGTGACACCCTCTTGCCCAAGCCTCTTGCTGATCTCCGCAGCCTGAGCGTTGTAGGGCGTGAGAATGGCAACATCCTTGGAGTCCACGGCCCTGCCCAGGGTCAGCTGCTTAGCAATGCGGACCTGAGGGACCAAGGGGGTGCTGCTGGAGCAGGCCCTGGCACCTCTCCTGCCCTGGACACCCGGACCTTACCTGTTCCCTCAGTCTCTCTGCCTCCTCCTCCAGGAAGGCCTCCCTGACCAAGGGGCACCAGGGAAAGTCTCACTGACACTCACCACCTCGGCCACCTCCTCCGGGTTGGCCTTGGAGTTTTCATTCCCTTCATCTGTGGACACCAGTAGGCTCTGCTCATGGCCCTGCACATGGCCAAAGATGACAGAGCAACTCTCCTTTCCAGCGTGGCCCAGGACGCTGGGCGGCCGCTTCAGGCCCGGCCAGGTCTTCAGCTTCTTCTTGTAGAACTCCGTGGAGGGGAAGGCACAGATGTCCGCGTGCTGCAAGGCAGGGCGTGAGCCTGGTCACCTGTCCAGCTGTCCCGGGGCCAAGAGCTGGGGGTCTTGGAGGCCAGGGTGGACACAGGAGGTCGAGGTGTGGGCAGCAACCCCTTGGGCATCCCTGGCCTCAGACCACACCGCGGCCAGAGATGGCGAGGCTGGGACCGGCTTACCATGCGGTACTGTGTGTCTAGCAGGTAGGCATCCGCGTGATACCTCTCGAAGAGAGACCGGTCCAGCCCCAGATTCTGTAGCTGCTCACTCCTGACCACAGGCCGCAGTTGCTTGTGGTCCCCCAGAAGAACCACCTGCAGACACAGGCAGCCACAGTCCTGACACCTGCAGACCTCGAGGTACCAGTCCTCCGGGGTGAAAGGCCACACCCACCGTCACCCATCTGGGGCTCCCAGCTCAGCACCCAGCTCCCTCACCTTCTCCACCCGTGAGAAGGCCACCAGCGGAATGAGGGTCTCGGGCTCTGTGGCCATGCCGGCTTCGTCGATGAGGACCTGCCGCACAGCCAGCCTCCTGAGACCAGCTGAGGCAGCACACGAGCACGTACACAAGATGACCCGGTGCCGCTCCAGCTCAAACTTCCGTGCCTTCCCCAGCACCTGCTTGTACCTGTGTGGGGACAGCCCTCGGTCACACAGGGAACCCCCCACACACATCTCCACCGTGGAGACAACAGCACGGCCCCAGCGGCTTACCGGTTGAGGTCTTCCTTGGAAAAGACCTCCCCTTTCTGCACCCGAGCGTCGAACCCCCTGATGTCCGCCGCGTAGGGGTTGGAGGTCTGCCGGACCCTGTGGTGCAGGGTGATGCTCCTGGGGTGGGAGGGACAGCCGTGAAGCCCCGTGTTAGTCCTCGCCCCGACAGGACTGTGGGGGTCCTGCACCCACAGACTGCCAAGAGACCGCACCTGAGGCTCTGGTTGGGCCTCCCCTCCCGAGGGGTCTTCCTGGGCGGGCCGCTGCTGCCCACACTGGGCACCGGGAATTCAGTGGCCTCGGCCTGCTCGCTGTACACCCGCAGCGGCTTCAGCTCTGCTCTCCTACTCAGCAGCAGTCCTGGCGGCAACAGAACGTGAGTCACCGTCCCCCGGGGCCAGCACCGTCAGGCAAAGCCCCCACACAACCAGCCCAGCGCACCTGCCAGGACGTCCACTGACTTGTTAGAGGGACCGCAATACAAGACGCACGGGCCCCCCAGCAGCTCCTCCTCCCTGGGGGCGCCCCAGGCCATCACCTGCTCCTCATTTGCCTTGTGAAACCAGAACACGATGTGGAAACCCACAACAGTCTTCCCTGTGCCTGCGGGCAGAGAGCGTCATGAACAGAGCCCCTGGTGGCCAGCGCAGCAGCCCGAGGCCCCAGCCCCGTAGCACAGGCCCCACCTGGCGGGCCCTGGATCACTGTGAACGGCTTCTGCAGGGCCGCCCTGACAGCCCGGTTCTGGCTGGAGTTCAGCGTGTGGCAGCCTCTGGGGAGGTCGAACATGCGTTTCTCCAGGAGCCTGTTGTACGTCCCTAAGGAAGGGTCAGGCCTGCCTGAGCAGGGGCGCAGGGCAGGACCCAGGCAGGACAAAGGGACATGGAAGAGCTGGAGGGTCCCAGGACCTACCTCTGTGGAGGGTCTGCTCGGGAGCAAGGCGGCAGGGCGGAGGGATGGGCCGGCCCAGGGCAATGCTGACGACCAGCGGGGATGCACGGTCCAACATACTCACAGCTTCTTCCTTGCGACTGGGGGCAGGTGGCAGTGAAGAGGGACCCGGGGACATCCACAGGACTCCCCCCAGAAGGGGACCCAGGGAGTTCTCGCCCCACCCGGCCCGCTTTCCCCCAGCTTCTCCCTGTGGAAGCTACTCACATGTCAGGAAGCTGCTTGGGCAGCACCTCAATAGTGAATCGCCTGCCCGGTCTCAGCACCTCTTCTGGAACTTTCTCCATGGGCATGTGCTGGACGAAGAAGTACACCTGCTTGGAGGTCTCCTGCCGGTCGGCCTGGCCCTCCTTCGGGTCCCAGTGTTCTGTCAGCCCGTGGGCCACCCAAGTGTACGTGTCAGGGTCAATGCTCAGGAGGGGAGGCTGGCCAGGGCCAGCTGGGGAGTGCGGCCCCCCTGCAATGGGCGTGGCCGGCAGCCCCTCGAGCCGGATGCAGAGGTAGCAGTGGCCGAAGCTGAGGTCAATGCCGTGCTCGCTGAGGAAGGACGGCTCCAGGCAGAAGGAGCCACGCAGCTGCCCCTGCGCCACCTGCTTCGTGTCCCAGGACACGCTGACCTGCTGCAGCGTGATGGAGTCGCCCTCCGAGACGGCGCCTGTGGCTGACTCCAGAGAGCAGAAGGGCCCCCACACGCGGGCGTACTCGCCCTCATCAAGACACCGGTCCTGCGCCGCCCGGGGCGCCTGGCCCAGGAAGCAGCCGCTGGGCCGCTCCACGTGCTGCAGGCAGAGGGTGAGGCCCGGCGCCACGGTGCACAGCTGCAGGCTTGGCACCAGGAAGCCCCGCTGCAGGCTGGCGCTGAGCTGCACCTGCAGCACGTCCCCGCTGCCCAGCTCCCGGGACACCTCCACAAAGTGGCCACAGCGGCTGTGCCTCACGCGGCCCAGCTCCCGGGACGGGGGCTCCGCCGTGCCCAGCTCCTGCACCAGGGCCGCCGCCTCAGGCCACCGCTCCGCCTGAACTAGCTCCAGCAGCTGCTCCCACGGGGCGGCGTCCACCCGCCGGGTGTGGGGGTCCAGCAGGGCACCGGGCTGCGGGGAGCGCGGCCCTTCCGCCTGCACCGAGTAGATGCGGCGCCGCCATTCCAGCCGCAAGCCCTGCCGCCCGGCCAGGTCCCTGGGGTGCTCAGCCAGCTGCAGGGCACGGTACGGCACAGGGCAGGGGTCGGGCAGGGTCTCGGGGTTGGTGGGGAAGAGCAGCTTGAAGCCGCGGGCGCCCGTCTCCACGCCTGCCACGATGCCCAGCTTGGCGCGGGGCTGGGCCCTGAGCCGCACTGCCAGATGCAGGCTGCGGGCCTGGCGCTGATAGGCCTGGGCGCGCGCGTGCTGGTGGCTGAATTCCTGGCACAGCCCGTCGATGTCCCTGGCGGAGTAGGGGGCACCCCCGTGGCCCAGCGCCAGCAGGATCTGCCGCTGCAGTACCACGTCCAGGTACCTGCGGATGGGCGAGGTGGCCCATGTGTACCAGTCCACCCGCAGCGCGTAGTGCCCCGCCACCTGCTGCTCGCCCTGGCGGGAGCGGCCAAACACAGAGCGGCCCAGGGCCTTGCGGAGGTCGAGGCCCACGGGAGCCAGGGAGGGGTGCACGTCGTCTGTGGTGATGAGGTCCGCCAGCAGATTGCGGTCTCCGGTGCGGGCGGCGCGCTGCAGGTGCCTCCACAGGGCGGCCAGGAGGTAGACCTGTCGGCCGGGGGACCCACAGCCCTGTAGGTGGTGGTGCAGGTGCAGGGACAGGGGCACCAGCTCCCCGTGCTTCTCCCCCAGCGCCACGAGCTGGCGCTCACTGGGCGCGGGCTGCCACCGCAGCGGCGTGACCGTCCGCGTGCACTCGCTGTTCACAAGGAGCTCGGCCACCAGGCTGTTGAACTGGACCATGTACTCCTTGACCATGGCGTGGGCCGCGCGGAAGCCCAGCACGCCGTCCTCGCCCGGCTGCTCGTAGTGCGCGTCGGTCCCCAGGCGGGCTCGGCGCAGCACCTGGGAGAAGTGGCAGGCAGCCACGACACAGGCGTCCACAGAGTCCAAGAGGCTGGGCAGCTCCCCGCCAGCTCCCGGGTGCCGCCGGATGACATGCTCGGCCTCCTCGTAGGACAGCTGGCGGTCAGAGCGGATCACAGAGGGCGCGAAGTGCAGGCCCTTGAGCTGGTCGCTGCCCTTCTCAACCGTGAGGAAGAGGGAAACGGCCAAGCGATCCTGGCCCGGCAGGAGGCTGAGCGCGTCCTGGCAGAGGCTGGCCGGCAGCATGGGCTGCGGCTCCCGGTCGGGGGCGTAGAACGTGATGCCCCTTCTGCGGGCCTCCAGGTCCAGAGGCCCGTCCCTGGGGACAGCACTGGCCACATCGGCGATGTGCACGGCCACCTCGTACTTGGAGCCCAGATCTCGGACGCTGAGGGCATCGTCCAGGTAACGGGCACCCTGGGGGTCCACAGTGAAGGTCAGAAAGCCGCGGCAATCCTCCCGGCGGTCGGGTCCCCGGCTGAGCTCTGCCTGGTACTTCTGCAGCGCCCTGCTGACGGAGGCCGGCTCTGGCTCCGGTGCCCTCAGGCCGTGCTCCAGGTCAAGGATGCGGAGGCCCTGCTCCCAGGTGGTGGCCTCGGGTAGTACCTCCAGGATGATGCCCAGGGGGTAGTAGAAGCGGGGCCGCCACAGGACAACACGCACCAAGAAGAGTCGGCTGCCGCGGGCCTCGGCGGGGAGTCGCTCGTACCCCACACGCCTCACACGGCCCTGCTGGACGCAGTGCACGGGAACCTGCAGTGGGTCCTTCAGCTCGGCCACGAAGATCTTGGTCACGGAGCTGTCGATGGGGGTCATGATGCGAGGGTCCCACTCGTCCGTGCGGCACACGAACACCAGCTCCCGCCGCTTCCTCTTCAGCACGCCCACCACGCGGCCCTGAGGCCTCCCCGAGGGGCCTCTGTCTGTGCCCAGGACCTCCACCAGAACCTCATCCCCGCTGAAGGCCATCCCACAGTGCAGGCGGCCCCTGATGTGGATGGGGCCACAGTCCGCATCATCCAGCGGGACGGCCAGTGCCCGCTCGAAGGTCTCCTGCACAAAGGCGCAGGGGCGGTACAGCTCGGGCTCCAAGCTCAGCAGCTTCCGCAGCGCGGCCCGCGGCAGGCTCCTGTACTGCCAGGCCTGCTGTGGGGACTCGGGCCGGGCGATGGCGTCCAGCAGCCCGTCTTCCCGGACGGTCACCGCCACGTTCCGGGCTTCATCCAGGAGCTCCTGCAGGATGGAGTCGTCCGCGTTGAGCTCCATGTCGGAGGGCCAGAAGTCCGACTCAGAGTCCTCGAGGTCCTCAGGGTCCCCATCTTCCGTGGCCGGCAGCCCGGCCACTGCCTTCCCAGGGGCCACATCCCCCATCGACGAGTTCCCTGCTGAGGTCGTGTCCTCTGCCTCTGGGGGCACCATGGCGGTCTCCCTCACCAGTGGGCAGCCCCCTGCCACAGACCCCAATGCCACGTCCCCAGCCTCTATGCTCTGTGTGGCTTCATCTCCTGCTGCCCAGGTCTTGGAAGGGGATGTCCTCCCTTCAGCCCCTGGTGCCACCTTGTCCATGGCCACGTGCTCTGTGGCTAGAGCCCCTGCTGTGCCCTCTTCCGGGACAGTGTCCTGGGCCACGGCAGCCACAGCTCTCTCTGCTTGGAGGTCCCAGCGCTGCCTCCTGCTCTGGACCGCGCTCTGCTCGATGCGCTCCAGGGACAGGCTCTCGGGCCGGATGCTACGGTGCTTCACGCACTCGAGGATGAAGCTCTTCCAGAGCTTGCTACAGGCCCCGAAGGAGCAGAGGGCCACGGCGTTGCCCACAGCCACCACCTGGGACTGGGCGCGCGTCATGACGGTGTTGAGCACGCGGGCATCGGTGAAGAAGCCCAGGGCGGGCGCCCCCGAGCTCAGCAGGCTGCTGTGGTTGTGCACGGTGCTCAGCACCACAGCCCGGAACTCCCGCCCTGCGAAGGGGGGTGGTCAGGCCGGGGAGGAGAGCCCGCCCGGCTCCGCACCTGCCCCTCCCCACCCCCACACTCATCACCCACCTGGCAGGATCTCAAAGCTGCCCACAGACACCTGGCCCAGGTCCCTCTTCCTCAGCTCCTGCCTCAGTGCGCCCACCTGCAGACACACACGGCAGAGCAGCCGGCCCGAGTGAGCCCCTGAGGGGGGACACGAGGCCCACGGCCCGGAGCCCCGGCCCCAGTCGTGGGTTCAAGCCCCACACCGTGGCCTGGCAGATTCATCCCTCAGCCCTTCTCTCAGGAGGAGCCACTGAGGCTGAGGAGGTCCCCCCTTAGGCCACAGAGGGACCCGCGCCCTCCTCTGGGAGTCTCTGCCAGAAGTGGGGAGGTGGGCTGTTGTGGGCGGCAGGGGCTCACCTGGGCACCGTGGGACACGGCACAGATGTGCCTCTGCTCGCGGCTGCCCCAGCAGGAGGGCCAGCTCTGGTAGATCTCCTGCACCTTCTCCACGACCTGGGCGATCTCCGCCGCGTTTAGCCAGGACGCGCGTGACAGGTCCCTCTCGGGGTTGCCCGCCACGTGGCAGAACATGAGAGGGTAGTGCGTGGGGTGGCGAGGGACCCGGCCACTGGCATGGATGGGGCTGCCCTCGGCCAGGTAGAAGTGCCGCGAGACGAAGTGAAGGATGGCCTCAGTGCAGCGGTAGTTCTCGTGGAAGATGAGCCGGCTGTGCCGCGCCACGGCGTGGGCCTCCCGCTGGTAGTGCCAGAAGAGGCGGCAGAGCAGGGTGTGGCCTGCAGCCTGGGTGCCCGGCACGCTGAAGAGCCTGGGCGTGACCTGCCGGTGGTCCCCCGCCAGCACCAGGCGCGTGCCGGGCCCGGCGTAGCGCAGCGGGATGAGCGCCTCGCACTCCAGCATCTGGGCGGCCTCGTCGATGAGGATGTGCGAGAAGAAGCCGCTGGGCACCCTGAGCTCGCGCGCCTGGGATGCCGTGGCCACCACAATGCGGTGCCGCTCCAGCTCGGCCTGTGTCGGGGCGCGGAAGGCCCGGCGGTCCGCGGTCAGGAGGCAGTAGCGCAGCGTGGCCGCGTCAGTCTGGCTGGGCGGGCGGTCCGTGAACATCACCCGCAGCGGAGTGGCCTCAGGGTGGCCGCTGCTCACGTAGCGGTGGAAGTGCTCCTCAATGTAGATGTCGGCCGCGCTGAGGGGAAGGGCACACGGTCCACCAAAGCGTGTCCTGTGAGCCCAGCCCGGCCTGGACGCCAGGAATTCAGCAGAGGCACACAGACCCGCCCCACACAGCTTTGACGCCAGCAGAGGGGACAGAGGATAAGGTCAGAATGGGACGAGAACCGGGAACAGCACAGAGGGTCTGGGTGGTCAGGAAGGGATCCCTGGAGGAGGAGGTGAAGGAGCTGGCCGTGCAGAGAAGCAGAGAGGGGAACCGCGGGGGCCCCTGCCTGACATAGCCCGGGTGGCCAGAGGCTGTGCTTGGCCCAGAGCTCAGCTCCCGGGGGGCTGTCAGTGGGTGTGCAGTGACGAGCACCAGCTCTCGGGAGCAGATGGAGAAGCACCGAGGCCAGGGTATCCCGGGGACATGCGAGAGCCCCCAGGCATCTCTGCAGGGACCTGCTCCCCAGGCCCCCAGGGATCCCCAGGCCCACCATGGGAGAGACCCCTGCCTGGGCAGCAGGAAGTGCTGGGAGCTAGGAAAATCATACCAACCACAGGGGATCCGTTAAGAGAGACTGAGGGAAGACAAGAGCAGAGCCTGGCCCTGGGAACTGCAGGATGGGCCACGCCAGACGCCCCCCCAACAACTCTGTCTGGTCTGGGGTCTCTGTGGAGGCACCCACAGCCCCGCCCACAGACAGCAGACCCTGACGCCCCAGGGCACCTTGCACTGGGCCCAAAGCACAAATGTCCCATCTCTTTTAGCCCAGGGAAAGTCCCAAGGATCAGAGTGACCCTGACCGCCCTAAGAGCTGCACTGTCCCCTACCCCTGCAGCGTCCACGGGGCAGCCAGAGGACCCAGGCCCAGCCTAGACCCTGCTTTGCCGATGGCCAGGCAAGGCCGGCGACCCACTCTAGCACAGGCTGCCCAGGCCTCCAGGGACCCTGGGAATGCCCGGCTCCCTTCCTCCTCACAGGGATGTAGCATCCAGCAGCACGCCGGCCCCGGCCAGCAAGCAGACGGCGGCTTGGGCTCACCTGTTGGTGTGCGTGCAGATGAGCACCCTGGTGTGGGGCTGCCGGATGACCTCTAGGGAGGCCATGGCCAGCGTGTAGGTCTTGCCTGTGCCAAAGGGGCCGTAGATGAGCAGGGGGGCAATGGGCCGGACGCCCCCCGGGCTACTGCCCGCAATGAGCGCCACGGCCAGCTTCTGCTTGTGGTTGCCGTGCATCGCGGGGGGTGCGGGCAGAGGCCGGGGCAAGGAGCACGTCGGCAGGTCCGGCACCACCAGTCGTACGTCAGGCAGCGCGTCTACCGCCTGGTGCCAGAAGCGGAAGGTCAGCGGGTCGATCTGGAACTGCACCTCAAGGAGGGGGCTGGTGTCGGGCCGTAGCCCCAGGACCACGCAGCAGCGGGCTGGCAGCAGCAGCCACAGCGCCCGCTCCGAGCTCGCCCGCGTCTCCAGCAGCACTTCAAACACCGTGCGGTCGCGCGCAGGGACGGGGGCCACCAGGGCTGTGCTGACCGCCCGGCCCAGCAGAAAGCCCTCGTCCGTGTCCGGCGTCCGCGAGGAGGGTGTGGGGACCTCGGCATAGAGGGCCCCTGATGGTGGGAAGAGCATGCCCAGGGCCGGCGTCTCCAGGGCCGTCCGCAGGGACACCGGGCCCCGGAAGTTCAGCCTGGCGGGGAGAATCTGGTCAGCGCTCAGGGGCCGGGACTCTGCGGCCCCACAGCCCAGTGACCCTCACTCACCTGGCCACCAGCCGCTGCTGAGCTGCCTCCTCCTCATAGAGAAACTGGTGCACCCTCGGGCGGTAGTCGGCGCAGGACATGGGGCCTGGGGCGGAGCCCCCGGGACAGAAGTCCAGCGCCAGGGCGGGCACCTTGTACTTGGCCACCAGGGCCACCTGCTCGGCTGTCCGCTCCACACCAGGCACCACGTGGCGGTTGCCCGTGTGCCAGCGCTCCAGCTCCTCGGCGTGGCCGCACGCCAGCCTGCCCTGCTGCCCCGGGCAGCGCACCTGGCCCAGCAGCAGCCCCAGCTTCCGTAGCAGGGCAGGCCGGCGGCCGAAGTCGAAAACCACCCACTGCTCGAAGCAGCCGAAGGAGGCACTCTGCACTCGCACCTCCACCCGGAACCTGGCTGGGGCGGCGCCTGCTCGAAAACGCTCCCCCTTTGCATAGAGCTGGCCCAGCGGGAGGCGGGGGGCCACCAGCGAGAAGTCTGCTCCCAGCTCCTGCTTGAGCAGGGCCACGTGCAGCAGGGGTTCCTGGGGGAGAGACTGGATGGGGAGGCGGCCCCAGACCCTGCCCGCCCATCACCGTCCAGGTGGACACTCAGGCCCCTTCCCACACTGCTGGGCTTCCTGGCTGTGACCCCAGAAGGGCGCTCGGCCTGTCTGAAGCTTGGGGTTCCTCCCTGCAAATGGGGTCCCAGAGCAGCCCCTGTGGAGGGTGAGCGAGGGGCGGGTGTAGCACGGGACGCCCAGGGCACACGAGCTAACGCGCCTGGTCCTCGCTCTCTGAACCAGACATTCCCACCAGCTCGTCCCAGAGACCCACGCATTGCTTCAGACCACACAGGCGGCTCCAAACCCAGAGCCCAGCCACCTCCCCTCCCCGGCCGAGCTGATGCCTTACCTCAGAGCAGATGTCAAATACCCAGCTGTGCTGAATCTTCTTCTCGGGGGCCTGATGCACCAAGGGCTGGTTGCACGTGACGAACACACCATCAACAGTCTCCGCCAGCTGCACAGAAGCCGGGCCGTCAGCGGTGGGGCTCTGGCCCTGGCAACCCCTTGCCCACCTGCCTGGTCCCCACTTACCACCAGGACCTCACTTCGACTTCGCTGGTACTCAGCCAGCAGCCGAGCCTGGTAAGACACCAGCCCCTCCTGCCAGGCGGCCTGCTCCCTCAGCTCCAGGCCCTGCGCCCGCTGCACCCACTCCTGCAGCTCCGGCTCAGAGTGCGCTTTAGTGCAGGCGTCCCCGTACTCACAGAGGTCGGGTCTGGGAAATGGGAGATCAGCAAGAAGGGCAGGGGTCAGCCCTGTCAGCCCAGTGCTGGCCTGTGGCGGGAGGCAGGGTCGATTCCAGGCCTGGGGCAGGGCAGGGGGGAACAGGGCCCCCCTCCATCCTGTGCCCACGAGAGAAGGCCTCCATGCGCCTCCCTCGACCACCCTCCAGAGGCAGGGGCGGGGACCAGCTGATTGCACAGAGGGGACAGAGAGCCCCTGGTCCCGGCTGAAGGGGGGCTTGTCCCCCACCCCCACCCCACTGTCCTCACTTGGGGCAGAGCTCAAACGTGGAGAGCCCCGTGGGTGGGCTGCGGTGCTCCCAGAGCTCGGCCGGGTCCAAGGCCACCATCTGTGCGTGCTCCAGGGATGAGCAGTGGTTCTCGAAGGCCTCCTGGGAGGGGCAGGTGACCAGGCAGGCACGGCAGTACAGCCGGACACTGAGGGGCCGGCCGCAGGGGGCTGCACGTTCGTCCTCCTCGGGGGCAGTGGGTGAGAGCAGGTCCTGCCGTTGGAGCCCCCCCCAGCTGCTCGGCCTCCCACACGGCCATCTCCACCGCGCTGTGTGCGTACTGGCAGCGGGAAGCCCCGTGCCGGCACGGCCGCCCGCGCCCCACATACATGCAGTAGGCCAGCGGCTGGCCGTACCGGGGCTGTGGCCGCACCTCCACTACCTGCCGCTTCCGGCGGCCCTCGGCGCTCACGTGAGCCAGGAGGGAAGGGCAGGCCCCGTGCTGGGGGCAGTGGCCCTGGGCGTCCATGGGGCAGAGGCGCGGAGGACAGCTCCGGAAGCAGTGAGAGCAGAGCAGCTGGAAGTGGCCGCCGTGCTCGGCGCGGATGGCGTCCGCGGGGCTGTGCTGCTCCCCCTGGGCACCCCCGCCCTGCAGCTCAGTCTTGAGCCACAGACGCCCGACGTTGTGCTCACGCTCGAAGTTCCAGACCAGGGCCTCCTCCCGGCTGCGGGCGAAGGTGCACTGGTTGCCGTGCCGCCGACAGCCGAGCCCCGGGCTGTAGTACCAGCAGACGTCGTAGCGGGCAGGCCGCGGGAAGCTGGGCCGGCGGGCCACCTTGCGCCACACCCGGCTCTTGCTGGCTTGCCTGAAGCGGGCCAGCAGGGTCTCTCGCGGGCAGTGGTGCTCTGTCCGGCGCAGCACGTACGTGCTCTCATTCAGGCGCTGAGTACAGCGGGGGCAGCCCAGGTGCAGGTCCACCTGGGCACACAGCCTGGCCAGAGACTGCTCCTTGGCGGCCATGGGGCTGGTGGGCGAGGAACCAGACCCTGGGGACAGCATGCCTGGCCTGGCTCTGCGGAGGGCCGTCCGAGGCTCACAGCATCACCGGATCCTCTGGGGCTGTTGGCCCATGATGAGAAGTCTGGAGCGGGAGGAGCAAGGAGCACGGTCAGTCCCTGAGGCCAGGAGCCCCACAGGTACCCAGGCAGAGGCTCAGTCACACTCTGCCTCTCCTCCAGGCCAGGCAGAATTCTATCCCGCAGACAGGCAGAGGGACTTGTTCCTCCAAGGGGCTGGGCCCCACTGACCTTGACCCAACCAAGACCCATCCCACTTCTGGGGGGGTCTCTGGGCCAGCCTGTGGGAGGAAGGGTGCCCTGGCAACAGGGGCCCTGGGGGCCCACGGGCTCTCCCGGCTCCCCCGGGAGCCTCCCTCTCCACGCCCTCCAGCCCTCCGCTTGAGCAAACACACGGCAGCCCTGCTCCGCGGGCCAGGCTGGCTCCGGCGACCTCCGCACGGTGGGGGCCCGCAGGACGGCACCGCGCTCAGGCAGGAAGTGGGGAAGCCCCGTGCGAATGGGACTGGCCGGGGAAACTCTGAGCGCGACACCAGCGCTGTTTTGAGAGGAAGCGGTTGCAGCCTCAGCCTGGAGGGGGGACGCCCAGCCCGGTCCGGCTGCAGAGGGACGGGGCTGAGAGCCCAAGCCCGGGGGACGCTCCGAAACGGGACTGACACTCGGGTTCCGGCCTCGGGGCGCAGAGATCGCGGCCCCTCCCCAGACCGGGGCCAGGGTCGCAGCGACCAGGCTGCCCCGCTGCCCCGGGGGCCGGGCGGTGGGGGGGGGGGGGGGCGCCCCGGGGGCTTCCGGGGGCCCCCCCCGCCCGCCCCCGCGCCGCACGCCCCCCCCGCGGAGCACGGCCGCCCCCTCCGCTCCCTCGCGCCTGGGGGGTCCCACGAAGCCCGCCCCGGAGGGCGGCCGAGACCCCGACCCCTCGCCCGGCGCTTACCCTGCGCGCGGAGCCGTCCCCGCCACCGGCGCCCGCCCCGCGCCGAGCGATCACTTTCGTTTCTGCCCGCGGGTGACTCGGAGCGCTGACGCCCCAGCGCGGAAATTACCTCACCGCCCCCCCACCCCCGCCCCGCCGCCCCGCCGCCCCGCCGCCCCGCCGCCCTCCCCGCCCCCGGCGCCGCCCCCTCCCCCCACCCCCGCCCCTCGGCCGCGGCGGCCAGGGCCCCTGAGGTCCACCCCGGCCCCAGGTGCCCCGCGCGCACGCACATCCGCGGGGCGCCCGGGCCGGGCAGTTTGCAGAAGGGGCCAAGCCCGCGGCGGCGGTGAGCAAGCCGGACAGCAACGCAGCGGGAAAGGGCTCCGGCTTGTACGACCCTCGGCTGTGGAGCGGCTCCACGGCACACCGACCTGTCTGGACTGGGGCGGGGGGTGGGGGGCGGGGGGGCTGCTCGAGGACTGGGAAGGGGAGGGGCACCGGGAGGCTTTTCTAAATGATTCCATCCAGTCTAGATTGGAGGGACCTGCCTACCGTCCTCTCTGAGAAGGTTCTTACTGAGGATGCCCTGGGGTTATAGCCAACCCCTGGACAGAGAGCGCTGCCCCATGCCAGATGGCTGGAGGGTCAGGAGCACTTTGCGGCCTGATTGCATCTGCCCCCCCAACTTTCCTGCACGGTGCCATCCTCGGTCACCCTTGAGGAAACTGAGGCCCTGCCCTCACGGGCTGAGGCCCAGCAGTCAGCTAGCTAGCAGAGCACCCAGTCCCCCCACTGCCCCCTGATGCGACCCCAAGGATCCTGGCTTCCCAGATTCATAACCTTGTACACTTGAACAATGAAGAGAGCCAACAGACACAGCAGAAGTTTGACGGCGGAGACTGGGCCAGAGGACATGGCATCCTCCCAGCCCGCTCAGGCTGACAGTGGGGCACGCCGGCCACTGTGGCCTGAAGGCAACGCGCAGCCTGGCCCACAGTCCCCTGTGCCAGGAAGGACTGAGGCCCCCTGCCGAAGCCCAGCACCCGCTGTCTGAAATGTCTGCGAGTCATCCCGCGAGAGGACCCTCCGGAGGACTGCAGCCCCGGCTCCGCCGCAGCTGGAGCCCCCACACCTGAGCCTCCAGCCAGCTTCCAACTGCAAGAGGACACGTGCTCAACGTCGTTTCAGGCCAACAGGTCTTGGGGAGACTTCTCACACAGCCGTGGAGAGCTGGTACACCAAGACTGTTCCCAGTGAGAGGCAGCTGTCCCAGAGCAGGGCTAGCACCATGTTGGGGGGGCAATAATGAAGCGTCCCATCGAATTCAGAAAGCTGGCTGGGTGCACCATTATTAATCATACTAGGAGCCTCAAGATACACAAGCATCAAGTTCGAGGACATAATAAAGTCTTCCATAAATGATAACAACAGAAGACCTAGGGATGAGCTTACCAAGAAGCAAAACCCTGAAATGTTCCCAAGAGACACAACAGAACACTACCGACAATGGAACGGAATCCTAGGAGACTTAATATCACATAAAGATACTAATTCTTCCCAAGCTTATCTAGGAACTTAATACAATCCCAGTAAAAATACTAAGAAGAATTGGGGAATAGACTAGCTGATTTTAAAATTCATTAAGAAAAACATTATAGGGGCGCCTGGGTGGCTCAGTGGGTTAAAGCCTCTGCCTTCGGCTCAGGTCATGATCTCAGGGTCATGGGATCGAGTCCTGCATCAGTTTCTCTGCTCAGCAAGGAGCCTGCTTCTCCCTCTCTCTCTCTCTGCCTGCCTCTCTGCCTGCTTGTGATCTCTGATGTCAAATAAATAAAATCTTAAAAAAAAAAAAAGCATTACACAAGCAAGAATGGGCAGGAAAATTATTACAAAGAAGAGTAACAGAAAACTGAAGAGATCACTTTCAAACTCATCTTACAAACCCAGCATTACCCTGATCCCAAAGCCAGATAAGGATACCACAGTAAAAGAAAATTAAAGACCAGGATGCCTGGTGGCTCAGTCGGTGAAGCCTCTGCCTCTGGCTCAGGTCATGATCCCAGGGGCCCGGGATCCAGCCCCGCATGGGGCTCCTTGCTCAGCAGGGAGACTCCTTCTCCCTCTGCCTCAGCCTGATGCTCCCCCTATTTGTGCTTTCTCTTTCTGATAAATACATAAATAAAATCCTTTAAAAAAAAAAAAAAGAAGAGGGGCGCCTGGGTGGCTCAGTGGGTTAAGCCTCTGCCTTCGGCTCGGGTCATGATCCCAGGTTCCTGGGATCGAGCCCCGCATCAGGCTCTCTGCTCAGCAGGGAGCCTGCTTCCTACCT